TATAGTAAAAGAATAGAAGAAAGGATTTCATCAGAAGGCTAGCAAGGAATAGAAAGGAATGATAATAAAATCTTGTGACCAGAGAGTCTGACACAACTGGACTGTGATTGGCCATTAATTAGAAACAACCACATGAGACCAATCCCAGATGCACCTGTTGCATTCCACAGGAGCAGATAGTCATTGTATAGTCATTGTTTATGTTTCATTTCTGCATCATTTCTGCTCTCAGCTTCTCACGAGACAGGATTTTCCATAAAATACATCTGTGACACATAGCTATGAAAACTCCTAACGCCCCCATTGTGCTGTGTGTATAAAACATGTCTGTGACACACATGTATGACAGCTCCTAACCCCCGGTGTGCCATGTGTGTGTAAAATACATCCATGACACATGTATGAAAGCTCCTAATGCCCTGGTGTGCCGTGTGTGTATAAAATACATCCATGACACACATGGATGACAGCTCCTAATGCCCCCATTGTGCTGTGTGTGTAAAATACATCCATGACACATGTATGACAGCTCCTAACCCCTGTTGTGCCGTGTGTGTGTAAAATACATCCATGACACATGTATGAAAACTAACGCCCCCATTGTGCCATGTGTGTATAAAATACATCCATGACACATGTATGACAGTTCCTAACCCCCATTGTGCCATGTGTGTATAAAATACATCCATGACACACATGGATGAAAACTAACGCCCCCGTTGTGCTGTGTGAGTATAAAATACATACATGACACACATGGATGAAAACTCCTAATGTCCCTGTTGTGCTGTGTGTATAAAATACATCCGTGACACATGTATGACAGCTCCTAACCCCCGGTGTGCTGTGTGTGTATAAAATACATCCATGACACATGTATGACAGCTCCTAACGCCCCCATTGTGCTGTGTGTGTATAAAACACGTCTGTGACACACATGTATGACAGCTCCTAACGCCCCGGTGTGCTGTGTGTGTATAAAATACATCCGTGACACACATGTATGACAGCTCCTAATGCCCCCATTGTGCTGTGTGTGTATAAAATACATCCATGACACACATGTATGACAGCTNCTGGGAGTATTGTCCATACCATGCCCATTGAAATAATGAATTGTAATCAATTGAAATCCTGTCCATGCCATGCCCACTGAGATAAGGGATTGTAATAAATTGGAATCCCATCCATGCCATGCCCATTGGGATGATGGATTGTAATCAATTGGAATCCCATCCATGCCATGCCTATTGTGATGATGGGATGTAATCACTTTTGGGAGTTCTCTTCATTTCATATCTGTACCTTGTGGCTGCCTCAGTGGGTTGGACTAAATACCTGTCTCAACATATTCCCTACTCCAGCAGCTGCTCATAAAGTCCCTTTGAAGGAGGAAGAGCCAGAGCAAGGACACTGGTGTCACCCTTGGCAGCAGGGAGAGAGCTGAGCCAGGAGTGGTTTCTGCTGGGTGCTGATTGTGGCTGTGATGTCTGAGCACAGTTCATGTAAAACCCACCTGAGGCCTTGCAGCCCCCTGGCCACCTGTGTTTTCTCTGGGTATTTCAGAACCGTTTCACACATTGCTTTGCTTTATGTTTTTCCAAGACAGTTATCAGGTGGCAATGAAAAATGGGATTTTTTTGCATAGAGCACGCACTAGATTCTCAGCAGAGAGCTGCAGGTTTGGTGCAGCTTCTCTTGGTTCTTCCCAGCAGTCAGTGTTTTGCTTTGGGCTGTTTATGAAGGTGATGTTTTCTTGCACCAGTTGTCTGCTACTGAAGTAGTTTGTCCTTGAGCCAAGTTGTTTTGACCTTCATAAAGACACAAGGATCTTATTTGTTGACCTATAAAGGGCCTTCAGATAACCAAGGGAACAGATTGTGTGCCTGGTTGTGTCAGAGAGGAGCTGCTGTTCAGCCACTCTGGCAAGCCTAAAACCTACTTTTCGTGTCAGAAACCTGCTTTATTTCCAAGAGCAGCAACATGTTGAATGTTGTTTGCAGGTGATGATGAATGAGACAGCCCAGCAGAACATGGAGAACCACCCGGTGATCCGCACTCTGTACGATCACGTGGATGAGGTGACGTGTCTGGCTTTCCACCCAACAGAACAGATCCTGGCTTCTGGCTCAAGGGACTACACACTTAAATTGTTTGATTATTCAAAACCTTCTGCCAAAAGAGCCTTCAAGTACATCCAGGTGAGACTGCTCAGGGCAGGCCCAGCTCAGATGTCTGAGTGCTGAGGTGGTGTGGGCTCAGCTGTGCCTCAGGTGATCAGGGGTGCAGGAGCTCACAGGCACAGCGTTTGCAGACCTTACAGAGATTGTGTCTTAATTCTGTCATCATGGACACTTGTATTTAAGAATAGAACTTGCCAGCTTTTTATTCATTAGACCAACTCTAATCTGAATTGACTTGGAAGTCAGTTCTGTTACTTTGATTTGGACAAATATTTGGGATTAGGTGGTGGGCTTGGGGAAGGCAATATCCTAAAATAAGGGGGCACTGCAGGCTCTAGGACAAAAACAATGCAGTCTGTCACTTCAATCCCACAGGAAACATTTTCCATTTTGTGCTGATAATTCCAGTAGATTTTTTAGCCCTTTACCAGCACCAACCCTTCCATCTGAGCTTTTTCCCTTCCTCACCCCGCCGTGTGTTTGTAACCCCACAGGAAGCAGAGATGTTACGCTCCATTTCTTTCCACCCTTCTGGGGATTTCATCCTGGTGGGGACCCAGCACCCAACCCTTCGTCTGTACGACATCAACACCTTCCAGTGCTTCGTGTCCTGCAACCCCCAGGACCAGCACACGGACGCCATCTGCTCCGTCAACTACAACGCCAGCGCCAACATGTACGTGACAGGCAGCAAGGATGGCTGCATCAAACTCTGGGATGGGGTCTCCAACCGCTGCATCACCACCTTTGAGAAGGCACACGATGGAGCTGAAGTCTGTTCTGCTATTTTTTCCAAAAATTCCAAGTATATTTTGTCCAGTGGGAAAGACTCTGTGGCAAAGCTCTGGGAGATATCCACTGGGCGGACGCTGGTGAAGTACACAGGTATGTGGCAGGTGACCTTCCAGACACCTTCTTTTCCAGGTGCTGAGCTGTGGCAGGGCTGGAAATACTGTCAGAAAATAATAATTCTTAAAGGCAATGGAGAAACTGCTGCTTTGAGAATAAATTGCCCAGGATTTTTTAAAGTATTTCCATTAGACCAATTCCAGAAGAGAAGCTTGAAGCTTCTCTGTATCAGTGTACAAATATTTCAGTCTGAGTAGATTTTGGAGAATTTTCTGAGATCATTTTTCACTCCATTATTCTGGAGGGAAGTTACCACTGAATTGGGGAAAGTAAGAAGAAACACTGAGGCTGCTTCAGGGCACTTGATTTAACCATTAACTCTGTGGCTCTGTAGCCATGGCAGTGCTCTGAAATGTACCTGCAGCTGGTTTGTTCCCTTTTTTGTGTATTTTTTCCCCAAGGATGCAATTGTGTGCAGGGTACTCTGACAGTGCCATGCTTGGATCTCAGCAGGATTTAGGGAATAATGAAGGCTGTGGAAGCTTTGCATGTGGCAACAGCTGTGTGAGAGTCTTTGGGGTCAAGCACTGACGTGTTTAAGCAATAGGAGCACAAAAGATGCTGGAAATGGAAATGGTGTGTGTCAGCTTTTGGGGTTTCCAGTCAGCTCTGCTGGGAGCAGCCAGCAGGGAGCAGCACCTTCCTGGGAAACCCTGCAGGATCCAGGAGGGTCTGTGGGAAACACTCTTTATCTGAGGGTATGGCCAAGGCAGCTCATGCTGCCTGTGCTGTGTGAGAAACGCACTGAAAGGTCCTCAGAGATTGTCAGGCTCTGTGGGTTCTCCTCTCCTTGGTCACAGCTGAAAGCCTCATGCAGAAATATCTTAGGTAAAGGATTGGACATGGGGTGTTCCTTCTGTCCCCTAAGGAATTTTAGCATATATACACGGGCAGCAGGAGGAATTTCCCCCTGGAAAGGGTGGTCAGGGGCTGCCCAGGGAGGTTTGGAGGTATCCAGGGAACACCTGGAGATGGCACTCAGTGCTCTGGTGACAAGGTGGGGATGGGACACAGGCTGGACTCAAATCTTTCTGTGATACAACTACAAAAGAATATTTGTTATTGCACCACCTGTTACTTGTGGAAGTAGGAGAACAGCAGAGAAAATTGATGCTTAGGGAAAATGACTCACAGATGTGGTGGTGTTCATAGGGGTCCCGGGATGAGGGAATAGATGAGAATGTTGACTCCATGTTTCAGAAGGCTGGTTTATTATTCTATGATATATATTACATTAAAAGAAAATGATATAATATATTAAAAGAAAATGATATATTATATTAAAAGAAAATTATGTGTTAAAACTATAGTAAAAGAATAGAAGAAAGGATTTCATCAGAAGGCTAGCAAGGAATAGAAAGGAATGATAATAAAATCTTGTGACCAGAGAGTCTGACACA